TAAAGGTCATATTCGTTATCAGGGCATCGGATTACCCCTATAAGCGAAGTTTCATCGAAAATTAAAATTTTGAGTTTTTGGGGGTGTAATTGTAGAATAGTACCCAAGTGTGTTTCTTATATTGCTGCGTCTACATCGAGACTCGGAATAGAGTATAAGATCAGTACGGTCAACAATTGTTTCTGATAAAAGTTAGGGCCAAAACTGGAAGCTAAACCAAAATCGGAAGCCGGCCAAACTATTTCAGAAACTCTTGGTCTCGGACTTATGGCTGTGTTCCTCATCATGGTCTTCTGCTTTTGGATATTTTTCACCGTCTTATTTTATATCCATGATTTTCGTGTATGGCAAAGAAAAAACGTGGTACGTCGCTGATTTTTACCTATTTGATCATGACCACTGGTGATCTCTATATCGCTATGTGTTGTTTTTTGTGTATTGGCTCTTCGGCAACACGTTCCACTGGTCTTTCTTTTGTGTTCCTCGTCTTTTATCTGCTCCCCCAGGGAACCTCTCGACATATGTAAGGAACCCCATTTTTCAGATTGTGTATGTAATCGACCAGCTAGACCGGGAAGATGAGGCCTACAGTCGCACCAACAATCACTTCAGTGAATCACAGCGCCCTTTACTTCTGAGAAAGAAAATACGCAAGTTCCTTGTGAGTTCATCATTATTATTCTCTAACATATGTTTATCTGAGTTGGCGAAGTAGTAATAGGTAATCCACTCCTTTACCACGCATTTGGTTCGTGATCAGGGGCCGTCAGGTATGCTCTCCTGTTCGGGGCTGGGACGCCCCGATTCGGGTCTCTCTCTGCTCTCCCCGAGAGCATACCTCACCGGGAAGGGGACTCCCCCCCCCCCCCCTCCTGTTCGGGGGAACATACCTTACGGCCCCAGACGGTTGATCGTAATACGACCACCAACCAAGCCTTCCATTCCCTCAGGGAAGATTATATAGACTTGGACTATTCTGAGAAAATGAATAGTCAGACTTTTACAGCTATTGGCCTCTTCAGTTCGATGAACAAGCTCGATTTTCTAAATTGTCTACAAGATTCCAAATAGAAGTCGAATGGCGGGGCACATACCACAAAGGGATTGGTGTAAATCAGAAATTGAATTCTTCCTTTTCTCATAATCATGCGGGAGGATTCATTGATTATGTTTATTTGAAATACATAGAATGAATCGAACCTCAATATCTGCAGTATTTCTTGAACGATGTTCTAAATCATTTAGAAAAAGTTGCAGTGTTGTGATGGTCAGTCAAGAGAAGACACGATAATTCCTCTTCGAGACACAGCTATTAGTACTATTATGGTGGAGCATCACGACTTTCACGACATGGGCAGTTCTCATGTATGTCTAGTTTAGATTCACTTCTTATTAGTTGTTTCGCTGCCATGAGAAACTCTTCCATCCGCGTAGCACAAACCTACAGTGGCTGATGTGGCCACGCTTACTTTCAATCCGATGCAAGCAGTCGTGATTGAGGCGAAATTGTACGCAAGTCAAATAGATATAGAGGGTAGCATTCAGACTTCGCGTTGGCACATTGTCGTGATCCGAAAGTGCGCTGGTCACTTCCCACCCGCATGAGATAGCTGCCGCTAGTTTGGCAGTGATGTAGGCCTGTGGCAGCCGACGTCTCGCTCTTGTAATTCCAGAAAGCGATGAATCTCCGAGCTTTTCTAAGTTAACAGGAGTCTCAAATTTTACAAACGTATTTTTCTGTTTGATATTTTCATACCTATTTCGATCTACCTTTCCTCCATTTTTTTGAACATTCGATTAAGCATTAAAACCAACTTGGGAAGGTTACAATGAAATTCAATAGAAGTGTGGCTAGGCACATAGCGTTGTGAGCACCAGTGACTGCTCGACCGACTGACCGCAAAAGCTTTTTTGCGTTAGCCTTACGGTTCTCGGAAAAAAGCGGTCTTTTCCAGCTCAGAATTGTCCAACTCAGAATTGAAAAGAAAGAATCGCCGGCAGCTATCAATTGGGGCTAGCAGTTACATCTGCAAACATCCCATCCATTATATTATGACCGCGAAAAAGACCACGAAACATCTGCATCAAATTTCCCCGCCACTACATGCTTTTTGAGGGTTCAGCTCTTGAACATTCAATTCCTATACTGTGTTGAAAAATCAGACACAATTTTCTGAACAGAAAGTTGTAGAATGGAACTGTAGTACAACATAATATAAAAGAACCATAGGGTTGAAAGACGCTTATATTTCTACACACTATCATTATCTTCTTATGCTGACCTCGAACACGGCTAAAGAACCTCGTCGACAAGCTCATTACTGTTGGGCCGAACCAGTTGGCGAGGAGGTTAAATGCTCTACACCCACACGCACTTGTCCCAGAAATAAGATGCAGGTACCGGAACAGCAAAGTTTGTATAAATAACAAGTGGTGCTGAAAGAGTTTTGGGAAACACGATCTGTTCAAGAGCTTTTCTGTAACCCCTGTCACTTTCGAGGCAGTTTCTACCTCTGACAGCTCCACGCCGCAGTGGCGACTGTGCATAGCCTGAAAGCAACTACATCGGCACATTTTGCATGAAATGAACTTTTATTTTGTGTCTTTAAATTCTATGGTGCCATCGAATTATGTATTGATGTTATGTTGTGTATTTTATATTTTAACTGAGCTTCGTTAGCGAGCATTCGACTAATATTGCTTTCCCTGTCTTTCTTATTTTATTGATCATGCTTTATCTACTCAAAAGATCACTATGAGTTATTTTTCGAGTGGAGCTATGTATTTTTTAGCAACTCCGAGTGATTTCTCCGATTGCACGCACATCTACTTCATCGCAGGGGAGGAGCTCTGGCGGAATCTCGTCAGTTGCTATCAGCGGCACATCAACATCTCAAATAACTGAACTAAGAGTTAATCCATCAACTAGTACTCCCACTAATGGTCAGCCGTCCTCTTCAGATGAGGGTGGGTTGTCCATTTTTCTTTATATTGATGACACAGCCGGACTTTCAATTTTAGTCAGCTAATCTTGAGTCCCCTTGTTTTTTCCATGTCTTTTCAAGAAGTGGCACGTGTGGAGAATCACGTGATCTCTATGGTTTCTAGCTCCACTATGAATGAGATAGCCTAAGATATCAATCAGAAACGAAGTAACTATTAGGCTCAGAACTTTGAATGAGGTTCTCAGTTTCAGTCCCTACACTTTCAACGTTCCGACCCTATGTTACTACGTCAAGCGCTTCTATTTTCCCGTATACATCAACGCCTCGTTTACTTGTGCCAACATCAACTACAAAACGACCGTCAAATGATGGCTGTGGTTTGTTCTTTTTCTCAGTGGAATGAAAACCATTTACGATCAGCTCCATTCGTCGTACTTTAGGTGTCCAGAGTCCAGATGCAGACGATGAACCAACATCCAGCGTGCAATCTCAACGCTAGCGTTTCCTGTCTCTAGGATTAACTGGAAATAAGGCGGGATCGATTTTTTTATTTCCTTTGCCTGACATCATGTTAAGTTGTATTGCGCTCTACCTGAATCAATAATGCCGTGACCAATTTTCTTTTTTTCTCATTCTCGGTAGAGAGACATGCACTGGCAAAAACGTGCATTCTCCATATTCTAGTAACTGAAATTATAGCATTGTTTTTTCGAAAGCAAAGATTCCATGGTGCATTAAGCTGTTGAAGGTTCGGTCGCAATAAAATGGCATGGTAAAAAAAAAAGAGAAAAGGGAGGCGGAAACCAATTACAGGGAGGAACTACCTGAAAGCCGGGAATGCCTTCACGCTTTGCGCATTATCCTTACGCTTGCTACGCTCTTACGTTTTGCGTAGTGTTCGCATTCGCTTGGTAGCGTAGATTGGGACATCCTATTCGCGTTGGTAAACAGTGTAAATATGAACAGAACTTGAGCAAGGGTTTCGATCTTTGAGCATTTCGATCCTACTAAACCACACCCTTTTTGTCCCACTTTTGTTTTTGTGGAATTCGCTTCCGATATGGGCACAGTGCGTGCCCATCTCCGATGACGCTTTTTAGGCACAGGTTGCGATCAGACTCCGCTTCCAGCGACCGATTGACGTGACGCGTACACAAAGCCGTCCCTCTATGTTTCATTTTAAGTTTTCTTTCTTTTTACCTTATTGAATTACCAAAACAATATCATAACGGCAGCGATACTAATTAGATGATTCGGAAAAGTATAATTATAGATTCAGAAGGTGACAGAGAAAGACGGCTTTGTGTATCAGAAAACGCGTATGCAGTGCTGGTAGAGCAGACTAAGCGCCTAATAACTCGCGTTGTTGCCTTCGCTCGTCGTCGCTATTCTTTACAATTTCTCTATGTGCTTTTCTAT